GACTATTCCCATCGTTTTCATTTTTGTCTATTTCCATGATGTGATAAAATTTCACTGATTTTCATTTGCAGTTGTCCTGCTACTCTAGTAAGCATATTTTCATGTGGTGATTTATAATTTACAATTCTTCTCATAAAACCGATTTACATAATTCTACCACTTGCTTATCTTTTGGTGAATAGCTCTTGGTCCTTTGTATTTTCGTCAAGTCCCTGCACATTCTGCATAGCTAACATTTATGATATGTGATGAAGATATTTTTCCTCAGCATGGAACAAAAACAAAAGCAGGACAAACAAGCCATTAATCCCTTCATTTCCTTAGCTGCAATCTACCAATCAAACCTCAAAGTCTATCAAATTAAGTTGGATCTCACTGTCATTAGCAGCTTATACTAGTATACCAACTTAAAAGAACTTATGATTGGTTGTTGTGGTTCAGGTATGTCCAACTTAGACTTTCACCAATTCAAAGGAATTCTGCTAAGTATTCATTCTTAATTTATCATTTCTTAAACTTACTTAAATTAAAATGTGCAGGCTCACTAATTCAGGTGTTCTTCCATTCACTAGTATCGTGAAAGAGTCAGTCCAAGTATGCTAAGATACTACTTGCAGATGAAATGATTATACAGAGTAAACACAATAAATTCTTATTTCCTTCTTCCTTGGCAAGGAGAAAGGCCACCTTGTCACAGCTCACTGAACTTATGTCAAAAAAGATGTTGGTATGACAAAACAGGAAAATGATAAATGTTAGATATGGAAAAATTGGAACACTAATGCATTGTTGGTGGAGTTGTGAAATGTTCCAACCATTTTGGAGAGCAATTTGGAACTATGCCCAAAGGGCTATAAAAATGTGTATACCCTTTGACCCAGCAATACCACTTCTAGGGCTATATCCCAAAGAGATCATACAAATGGGAAAAGGACCCACATGTACAAAAATATTTATAGCAGCTCTTTTTGTGGTGGCAAAGAATTGGAAATTGAGAGGATGCCCATCAATGGAGGAATGGCTAAACAAGTTGTGGTATACGAATGTAATAGAATACTATTGTGCTATAAGAAATGATAATCAGGCAGACTTCAGAAAAATCCAGAAAGACTTATATGGTCTGATGCTGAGTGAAGTGAGCAGAACCAGGAAATGTTGTACATAGTAACTGCCCCATTGTGCAATGACTAATATTGACAGATTTAACCCTTCTCAGCAATACAAGGATCTAAGACATCTCGAAAAGGCCTCATGATGGAAAATGCTATCCACATCCAAAGAAAGAACGATGGAGTTTGAATGCAGATCGAAGCATACTATTTGCTATTTTTTTTCTTCTATTTTTTTCTTCTGTTTTGTTTCCTCTTTCTGGTGGTTCCTCCTATTGGTTCTAATTCTCACTTAAGCATCACTAATGTGAAAATATGTTTAATAGGAATGTATATGTATAGCCTATATCAGATTGTGTGCTGTCCTGGGGAGGGGCAGAAAAATTTAAAACTCAAAAGCTTATGGAAGTGATTGTTGATAAATCAAAATAAATTAATAAAAAATAAAAAAGGGATGTTGGTGTACTCTAATGTCTCTTATTCTATCCAGGTGAAAATATAAAAACCATCATAGATGGGGATATTCATGGAAAAGGAGGATGAAAAAGTTATCCCATTCCATCCCATCTTCTCCAGCACTTACTCCTTACCAACCCCACTCTCTCACTAAGCTTCAATTGCTCCTTATCTATAGGCTGCTTCCCTGCAGCCTGCAAACCATACCCATGTCCCCCTCATCATTAAAAGACAAATCATTTGACCCACCCACACGGACAGCTATCATGTATCTTTCCTCTATTTCATGGTTATCTCTTTCAGAAGACCATCTATAATTGATGCCTCTACTTCCTTTTCTCTCACTCTCTTCCAAATCTTCTGCAATCTGACTTCCAGGCTCACCATTCAACTAAAAGTGCTCTTTCCAGAATTACCAATGATCTCTTATTATAACTGCCAAACCTAATGGCCCCTTTTCCTCCTTTTTTTTCAGTTGCTCCATAATGCTTTGATATTAAATGCTTTTAAAGCACCTAGTGAGACAGACGTAAGTAGAGAACTACTATTACTCCCATCTGTTCAGCCGTATAAAAAGCAACTTTAAAAAATTACTAGAAATCCCCAATTTAAAAGGTAAGAGGAGAGACCACTAATCAAACTACTAGTATTTCTTAGTCAAGCACCATGATTCAAATATCAGAATCTCTCATGAAGATATAGGGGTCAGGAGTCCGGGGGGGGAGAAGAAATGGGGTACTATATTTTAGTTTAAAGGCAGCTCAGTGTAGCTTGGGGTGAAGAAAGCCATCCAGTCCTTGAGGAGAGAATAGGAGCTTTTGTTTTGAACAGGAAAGCATCCAGACAACATTACTACATGTTGACATTAAGGGCCAGGACCTAGTCGCTCCATGGTTTCTTCTTGGCATCTACATTTTTTTAATCTCTTCAAGCTTTTTGGCCAAGTTCAGAATTCCATAGTTCTGAGCCAGATACAGCCCCACTACATTGCTGAGCGTAAATCTTAGCAAAAAGTGGATCATGGTGATGGCAGCGATGGTGGAGGGAGCAGGTGAAGCAAGAGTCTGATGGCCCTTTCTTAATGCTGGTTCTTCTCCACCTCTCTGCAGTCTTCGACACCACCAATCATCATCTTCTCCTTGATAGTCTCTTCCCCCAGGTTTTTCTTGACACTCTTCTCTCTTGGTTCTCCTCCTCATCTGACTTCTCTCTGCTGGATCTTCATCTAGATCACCCATGCTAATCATTGGTGTCTCCAAGGCTCTGTCTCATCAGCTTCCATAGTTTCAGTTATCATCTTTATGTAGACAATTCACAGATCTATCCAAACTTAACCTCTGTCCTGACTTCCAGTGTGGTTTCTCTAACTGCCTACTAAATATCTCAAACTGGATGTCCTATAGATATCTTAAACTCAACATGTCTAAAATTGAACTCATTTTCCCCCACAAGCATCCCTCACCCCACGTTCTAACTTTCCTATTTATGCTGAGTGAACCATTCTCCCACTGTCACAACTTACTGGTCATCCTGACTCTTCACTCTCACATCCCACATCCAATCTGTTGCCACTTCCTGCTGATTTTACCTTTGTGACATCTCTCAAATATATGTCTACATTCCTCTAATACTGCCATCATGGTCATGCAGTCTATCAAGTCATGCCTAGACCACTGCAATAGCCTGCTGGTTAGTTTTTCTGCCTCAAGTCTCTCTTCTGAGCTCAGTCTATCCTTCCATCAGCTCTAAAGTTAATCTTCCTTAAGTAAAAATCTGACCTTTTCACCCTTCCCCACCCATTCTACAAACTCCAATGGCTTTCTATTACCTCCAGGATCATATATAAATCCTTTTGTTAGCCTTTTAGAGCCCTGCTTAATCTGGTCCTTTCCTATCTTTCCAGTCTTCTCATACATTAACTGCCCTCCACATTCTACAATCCAGTGTCCCTGGACTAATTGCTGTTCCTCACACAAAACCCTCTATCTCTCAACTCTGGGCAGTTTCACAGGCTGTCCCTATGGCTGGCATTCTTTTTACTTGTCTCTGCTTTCTGGCTTTTCCTGGTTCTCCAAGTCTCAACTCAAATCCCACCTTCCGCAAGAAGGTTTTCCCAGTTTCCCTTAATGCTAATGCTTTCCCTCAGGGATTATCTCCAATTTATCCTGTCTAGATCTTGTTTATTCATAGGTGTTTGCATATTGTCTCTCCCACTAGATTGTGAGGTCCTTGAAAGCAGGGACTGTTTTTGCCATTTGATATATCCCTAACACTTTGCACAGTGTGTGGCATATAGTAGGAGCTTAATAAAATGCTTTCTTGTTGACTCAACCAACCTTAATGTCCAAGACAATATTTCCCACCTGGTTAGCAGACTATACTTGTTTTGTCCTGAGAAAGCTGAATTTTTCCTGTACTTTCAAATTAGTCTACCTACTGTAGACATGCAGAAATGGATCCCTGTAAGCCACATATTGACTTAGAAAACCACAAATTAACAATATTTATGTTTTATTGTATTTTTATTGATTTCTGTTAAATATTTCTTGATCACATTTTAATTTGGCTTAGGAGTTTTGCGGACACAAGTTTGATGCTTCTGATCTCCAAACTGGAGAGCTGTTAAAAGCACTAGAAATAGGAATCCAATTAAATAGGCTCATCAGAATTTGAATTTATGGGAAATCACAAGATCATTAAAGGTTAGGTTGTATCCTACAAAAAAGCAGCAGGAGCTCTTACACCTTTTTAGGCTATGCTATAACGGTAGAAAATAACAACACAATAGTATACACATACATCTATATCAAAGAAGTGAGGAAAAGGAACTCACAAAAGGAATCTGCTTTCTGATTTAATGTTATTACAGCAGGAGGGTAGACTAGATACTCTTAAGTCACATTCCCTCACCAAGATCTATGATTCTATAACTATTAAGAGGGTTCCTATGAAAGGAAAGCTCCAAAAGACAGCTCCAAAAATTGGCCAGAACACAGAAGTCTATCACCAAGTCCCATTCCTAGCCCAGGAACACATTACCAGTTAGGAATTGTGAGAATAGTTTAAAAAAAAAAGTAGGAAAGGAAAGCAAATAGACAAAAATAGATCACTATATTTTAAAGTTTTTTTTAAAGCTTTTACTCTGATATTTTAAAAAGTGACTTAAAAAATCTGAAATAAGTAACTTCAATAAAAATGTAAGTGCTTGACTTTAAAGATTTTTCATAAAATATTGGTTTCTTACTCAGTGGGTGTTCAAGGAATATCTGATGACAAATACTAAAGGCATAACAAATTGCCATTGCTTGTGCAAAAGTAGAGAAAGAACCTAAAAACAGAGTTAAGCACCAAGCTCAAGATGTACATTACTAATGCTTTGTGATTTGTAGATAGGCACACATGTGTACAGATAACCATACTAATGTTTCATCTCACCCAGAAGTCCAACATATTGGGGTTTTCCAAACTCCATTTGGCTTCAGGCCTTGAAATAGGAGGTTTTCACATCAAGCAAGCTTCTGTAAAGTATGTACAATGATTCCTTGATTAATAACGTTTCACTGACCAAAAGTTCCTTCCTTTAATAAAATTGACCTAGACGTGGCAGAGGATTAAGGGAAATTCTAGTGGCCTCAAAAAACTGCTGTGGCAGTAGTAGCTGAAGAGATAATAGTACCAGCTTTCTCACTAAGCAGACTTGTTAGGATCTTGGCCCAGCTAGGAAAAGGGTCCCACTATCTAGATTTCCAGAGTTTAGTCATGTGGGAGTATTACTGGCTAACAGCTGACGCCTGGCTCACCAGGAATACATACTTTAAATCCATTATCTTCGCCCTATTTGGATAATTTCTATATCTAACAAGGAAGTTTCTGACAGTGTAGTATGCTGCTGGAGTCATTATCATAAACTGAAGCATTACAGTGCAGTTTTACAGTAAAGAGTATATATGAACTAACCTGTGGATAGAACAAGTTTCACTTTCAAAACAATGAAGAACACCACCATTTCTATGACATTTGCTCTATTCCTATTCTACAAAAGGGAATATAATACAAGACCAAAGTATATGAATGTAACTTACCCATGGAAACACAGGTCTGAGTCTCTATAATTCCCAATGCAAGCTCTGTCCATTAAAACACAAAGCTGCCTTGAAATATTAGGCTTTCCACCAACTAAATAAGAGGTCTGATAACTCAACATGCTGCTGGTGCCAAAGGTACAAAACAAATTTCAGGCAGTTAGCATATTTAGGAAATAATTCAATTTGGCACAAAATAAATTTGAAAAACATTAGGCTAAATTCTGAACCACCACTTTTGCTTTACAAGTTTCATAAATCCAAGGACTCAGACAACATAGGAAGTTTTGATTTTGGTCAAAAGACATTTGATATCCAAAGGATATTTGTGTTTCAATCCCATCACCTCCCTATGTCCTCTAAAAGCTCACTCACTTCATTGCTCATATCGCACCCCCATTTCATCTTCAAATTCTCCTTAGCCCATGGACTCTTTTCCTGCTGAAAATAAACATGCCTTTCTCCTGTTCACAGATAACGGAAAGAGTTACCTACACTAACATTATCTCCATTTTCTCACCTCCATTCACCTTTCAATCTGGCTTCCAATCCTATCAAGAGACTGAAAGTGACCTTTCCAAAGTTATGAACTATCTTAAATGCTAAATCCACTGATGTTTAAAAATACATTTTAACTGATGTCACAGTTATTTTAACCATCCTCCCATGATAAGCATGACTTTTCTGCTTGGTTCTCAGCTCTGAATCATTATGAGTTGTAGGCAAGTTACTTCCCTGGGGACTAACTAATCCCACCTTCACATGTTAAAGAGGAGGAAACTGCTGGAGAGGGGAAGGGTCTATTAAAAAAGTGAAAGTGGTTACCAATGAAAATTTGGACAAAGAAAAACAATTAAGCAAGATTCTGTTGTTTCAGTCCTCCCATGTGTCTTTTCTCAGGCATCATCCTTCAGTTTCTGACACTGCTGACCACAACTCCCCCTGGATACTCTCTCTTCTTTTGACTTCAGTGACACAGCTCTCTTTTAGTTTTCCTACCTTACCATACCTACTAGACCTCCTTCAGTTACAAGGAAGCAGTCTGCTTCTATCCAACAAGATCAGATATAATATCATTGCATCCTAGTGTTATTAGCAATTGCTGGTGCCCTTGACTACTTGTGTCAGACAAATGGCATAAGGAACAACATGGAACATGTGTATAATTAGAAAAGAGTGTGCATTTCATGTGGCAAGAATGAAATATAAAGAAAGATGGTTCAAGTAGTATACTGGTACTCAGATGTTAAAATAGGAAGGCCTTAGTAGCTGAATGAATTTTTATGTAAGATTTAGGTGAAAATTCCCAAGTACCTTAATGTTTATAAAGTATTTTTTAAATATCCTCATTTAATCAATAACCTTGTGAGTTAGGTATTGCAAATAGCATTACTCCCATTTTACAGATGGGAAAGTGTCTTGTGTTCATGCATTGTGATATCTGACCTCCCAAAAACCTGACTCTTTGGCCCCTTAGCCATAGAAGCTTCTTTACTTTGGTCATAAATCCTTATTAATAATTGTTTGCCTGATGTTCTCCACTAATTCACTACTGTTCCTGGCTAAAGAGTAGCTACACACTTTCCAAATCAATCATAACTTTCATCATACACCCTTCAAGGACATTTGAAATTTATAAGGCAAAGTCAAGCTCATGGGGAAAAAAAATTATCCATTACTCCATGTACAATCTAAAACATAAAACAAATAAGTCTATTTAGATAAGCCTTTCCAACATAAGCAGAAAAAGAAAAAACTTGGCCAGTCCAAGTTTATGACATGGAAACATGCTACAATAAAAGTTTTAAGCAACAAGAAGCACATTTAGAGCACAAAAATTGCCAAATTGCAAAACCTGCTATTAAAAAAGAAGCAATTCAAAAAATGTCAAATTTTGAAAACAAGCAAGGCAGTGAAGAGTAGACAATAGCAAGCTGTCTTAGAGTTAGGGAAGACTAAGCTGCCACGTAGATGTACAAGTCGTCCTGAAGTCCCATCACTACTCAGTACCTAAGGTAACTGTCTAAAGACTACAAGTTTCAGAAATGATGCTCATCTGCATTGGTAGAGGGAGTTCCTCACTGGAAACTTCCCTGAACCCATGAAATTACATGTCTGATCCATAAAAAAATTTTTTTTTTCAAATTGTTGAGTTATCTTAAAAATAGTGGCTACACAGACCCACTGGCCACAAATGTAGCCTCAGGCTAAAGCACAACTCAGCACTATACTTAAAATGTGAACTGGAAATTATATTGTCCTGCAGACTTCCAAATTTTCATTGGTAAGTGTTCTCTGTTCTCACTTACTTAATAAAGGGTAAGGTCGTTCCCCTCTCTGGCAGTTTCCTCCTCTGAAGAACGTGAGGGTAGGATCATTTAATCCCTAGGGAAGTGGGTGATTAAGAGCTGAGGCTAGAACTCCAGCTTTTGATAAGGGAGCAAGGAGAAAAGTCATGCTTATCATTTATCTGATAATAACATGTAATTTCATGGAGATAGGGAAGTTCCCAGTGAGGAACAGATCAACATATTTTCTGAAACTTGCAGTCTTAAAGAGTTACCTTGGATACTGAGAAGTGACATGACTGAAGCAGGGTAGCCTGAATTAAAGTGTAACCAATGAAATTATAAATGGTTCTATTTTCTTCCTTTCCTCCCTTGTGGAGCTATATTGCAAAACTTGTTTTGTAGCTTTCCAACACCCTTTTGATTCAAAAAGCCAATTAAAACTCCCAGAGGTGTTGAGTTTATTAAAATTCTGATGAGTCTTCAAAATTTCCCAAGGCCAGGAGGTACATCCTTCTTTACATCCAATGATTAAGTAAAAAGTACACTGAAGGGCAAGATGAAGTTTGCCCAATAGGGAAGCTGCACAGTATGGGTAAAAACAAGCACTAAAGGAAAACACCAGAATTCGAATCCTGGTTTTGCCACTAACTTATTGCCTGACCTTGGGCAAATAACATCTTCTCTAAGCCTGTTTCCTCATATGTAAAAGGAAAGGTTTGGGCTACATGACTTCAAAGGTAAGCCTTTTCTGCTGTTAAAAAGAAAAAAGAGGGGGGCAGGTAGGTGGTGCAGTGAATAGAGCACCGACCCTGGAATCAGGAGGACCTGAGTTCAAATCCAGCTTAGACACTTGATACTTACTACTGGTGTGACACTGGGCAAGTCACTTAATACCAATTGCCTCACCAAAAAAAAAAAAGATTCTCATCTCAGAAAAAAATTATGCTGCATAACCTAACATTACACCCTACATATTTAACGGGATGGTATTTGAAAAGTTACTCATCACAAAATGAAAACAATCTTTAAAATCAGTTAACTTGATAGAGTAAAAAGTTATAATATTCAGCAGCACCATTCATGGTCAAGAGAGACCTATGAGAAAGATTTCTGAAGGTATAATCAAAGAAAAGGTTCTTTAGGCATAATATAGAGGAGGAACCACAAAAATCTAAATACATTGGTTACATGAATTATAAAATTTAACTAAAACCGTCTCAAAAATTGTCACTAAGAAGAGAATATGTGGTGGATAGAGCATGTTTGTCTTATTAAATATAACTAAGTCCAGAAAGAAACAGTCTCAAAAACTAAGGCCAAGCTAAGCTGACAATGTAATACCATCACAAATATAACCTAAATTGTCTGTCCAGCTCTTATGAGATGTAGGAACAGAAAGTACAACTAGAAGACACAAGGAAATAAAGATAAGCTTCTGGCTGGCTTTAAATCTACTGCTCTTTAGTTTTAATTTCCTCTGTCATGGACCCTCTTCAGCTATCTGCTGAAGCCTACAGTCAACCACAAAAGACGACAAAAATAATGACTTAAAGATACCCAAGAGATGGGACTGACATTGTCAAAGTAGTAGAGAGTAGTCAGGGAAGAGAGTTTTGGCTTAGGAAATATATATCATTACTAGGTCTCAAATTGTATTATAAAACAGTAATCATCAAAAACACTTAGTACTGGCTAACAAGTACAAAAGTAGCAAAGATTTGATAAGAAAAGCCTAAAAGAAAAGGAACATCGAAGTTTAATGTTTTTAACCCAAGACCACAAACTAACAGAGGAAGGACAAGAACTGCTGGGAAAACTAGGAAACATTTTGGTGGAGATTAGATTTAGACCAGCATGTTATATTACATACCATAAACTCCAAATAAATAATTCAATAAAAGGCATAAAAGGTCACATCATAAAAAAGGGAAGAACAAAACAAAACTATGATTAGAGATAAATTATTAACCAAAGGAACAGAAGTGATCACAAAAGGTGAAAAAGGAAATTTTGATTGCATAAAATTTAAAAAACTTTTACATGAACAAAATCATTTCATCTAGAATAAGAGAAACTATTAGGCACAAAAACCTGCCTTTCCATAAAACATTTCCGATAAAAGTCTGCTATCCAAGATACTCAGGG